GATTCCATTCTGTCGTTGAACTCAGAGAAAACCATGTACTGAGAGAGGAAAACAGAGGTCAGCTGTTCATCCCGACCACAAAGATCAGCTGTGAACAAAGCAGAAAAACCTTCTGACCTTCAGCAGGCGAGGGAACCTCAACAGAGAGTTGACTCCAGTGAAATAGTAAAATACCTCCAAAGGAAACAGGCTGATGATGTCCATCTGCAAAGCACACAGCAAACACTCACCAGGGGGAAACCAAAGGGTTAAAGAAGTTCTAGAGATCTGAATCAATCCGGAGACAACTGAGGTTGTGCTGAGTTTAAAAAACTGTGCGCACAATGTAAAGACGCAAAAATATCAAAGATGCAGACTCGTTTGTTTTGTTAGGATTCATGAATCTATAGGATTATAACATCTTTTTTCCAGCAGCGTACACATATTTTAGCATCCACATTATGACCATTGCCAGATACATCAGCCATCACTAGAGGCCAGATTTTATAAACCGATTTATATTTATACATCTTATAAACCCACCGGTCCTGTTTTTAAGACTTGTCCATTGGCATCTTAGATTTTTGAAGCCAGACCCCCCTGTAATGTGACCATGATTCACAAAATAAAGATCAAGTTTAATGTACTAATATTTAAAACTAGAGACTGAGACTATAAACTGTGTTTACTGAGGTCAGACTTTACATTCGCCCCCTGCTGGACGTTAGAAAGAATGCAGGCTTCCACAGAGAGTTATGGTTTTTATATACAACAGCAGATCCTAAACTTCAGATGAATGCAGCAGTTTTAGTAATATGAAAATCTTTTCTATCCCAGCCGAAGCTTTAGTGACAGCTGTGTTTCTTTATTATTATTTTTGATCTCATCATTTTAGTTTTTCCTGCTATTTGAAAAAAAGAGAGAGGGTCACAAAGGGAGAATAACGTTTGTTATTTTAAGTGATTTGATTTTTATAAAGGTAATATTAAAATGTAAACTAAATTAAAACATAATTTTTTTAAATTATTCATTGTATTTTCTAACTTCCTGTGACCCGCTTGCAGTACCTTCACCATCCACCAGGTGGCCCTGGCCCAAAGTTCTCACCTTAAATCTCTCTGTGGTCATGTAGTGCTCCCTCATGTCCTTCTTGTCACACTGTGGAAAAGAAGTTCCAGATCAAAGGTGTTTGTGAAAGTTTAAAATAAAATCAAAGTTTTATTTGTCGTTTCATTTCTACTGACCACGATGTCGCCTCCGCGGACGAACTGCAACCTGGGCTGGAAGACGAGGATATCAATGATGTAGATGAGGTCGAAGGTGTAGTCGGCCAGCAGCCACAGGTGGATGTTTTCGGGGGTTTGGTAAGGAAACGCCCAGCGGACGGGGATCAGCCATACGTTCCAGTTCCACGCCGCCACCACGAAGAACAGCCAGATGACGTAGATCAGGTCTATGGGGCAGAAATCCACAGTCAAACGTCTCTCTGACCTTCGTACATGACGGAAAAAGAAGAACCCAAAAAAAACCCTGGTAGCAGAGAGCTGACTATCATTTAACTTCACGTTCTTACTGCAGCGCCACCTGATTGTGGTGACCTGAACTTCAGATAACCAAGAACCTGATCCTTGTGTAGCGCACCGTAAATTCATCCCCCCAGGTGACAGTCTGACCCTGGGTGATGACCTCACCTGACGCGTCATGTTTTTTATCTCAAACCAGCTCAGAAACTTTTTGGCCACCAGCGTGACCTTTGCTCACCAGATTTCACTTCCTCTGACTTCGTCCACGTCCCAAAAATAAGAATCAAGTTCAATCAAGTTTCGATCCAACCTGTGACATCATCAGATCCCTGTGACCCCTGATACAGGCTCTTACGGTGTTCTGGCCTCTCTGCACCTTCTGAGAGGTGTCTCCTCCACAGGATACACGAGAGACTGCACAGCTTGTGTTTTACACTTTGCTCGAGAAGGTGCCCTGATGCTGCTGCAGCATCGCCCTCTCACTCGTCTGGGACCCTCTGAGCTCCTCACTGATCTATCTCTGAAAAGATGTTAAAGACCGAGCTGCACCTGCTGGAGTTTGAAGATCCAGAGGTGCACGACAAGCTGAAAGGACACCAAAGCAAGGTGCGCACTGCCGTTCTACTTCTTTGTCTCTTGGCTCCTCCCTTTAGGCGTCACCACACCAGCTCTGTCACACCAACCCCCTGCAGTCCTCCTTCACTACATCCATGAACCTCCACTGAGGTCTTCCCGGCAGCTCCGTCTTCATCCTCCACCCTCCCTCCTCTGCACATGTCCAAACCATCTGAGCCTCTCTGAGCTGTCCCTCCGATGGACGCTCGCTCCCAATAAACATCTGAACATCTTCAGCTCGCCATCCTGTAAACCTTCCCTTTCACGCTTGCTTCTCTGCTTCTGTCACAAATTACCCCTGAAACTCATCTCCACCCAACTCCAGAAGCTGAAGCAGCGGGTGAATATGGCTGTCCTGAAAAGTGCGGTGATGGAGAACTCGATTTCTCACCGGTGAACGGGTCGATGCTCGAGGGGAAGCGGAAGTCCAGGATGGCTCGGAGCCAGCCGGGCATCGGGGGAAGTTTGGGCAGATTGGGAATTTTGACCTCATATCCCAGAAGCTCAAATTTAAACTCCTTTTCCTCCTCCTTTTCTTCTTCTCCTCCTCCTGCTGCTGCATCTTTCTTCTCCTCTCCTGGGGGAGGCGGGGGAGGAGGGGGAGGCGGAGCTTTGCTTGGAGCTGTAGGGATCAGAGAGGAAGCGAGAGAGCGTCATTTTGATGGTTTTACACTGATGCAGCTGAAAATCATTCAGTATTTGATGCAAACTGTTTAATCTCATCATTTACTCAAATCCTTCATGCACGCATATTGTTAAACTCATACAATCACTGAGCAAAACACTGCAGCGGCGTTTTGATGCAGGATTTGGTTCTATCTTATCAAAGCTTCTGACTCGTGAAACCGGTTTCTACGTACAGGCTGCGGGACTTTCTTCCTCCGATTCGTCCGGGTCGATCAGCCGTTCTTTCTGCCGCTCCGTCCGACCTTTGAACAGCCTGACGAGATCGTTGAGGCGGTCCTGGACCACCACGCTGCCGACGCTGGTCGCCGACAGCGGACGTGTCCTGCAGGAGGAAGAACGGGAAGGTAAACATGGTGGACAGATAGATGGAAGCAGGGAGCTCACTGTGAGTCTGTGGGGTTTCTCTCACTCGTCGTCTGCAGTCAGGTGGTCTCCCTGAGTGCTCCAGACTTTCAAACCGACCCTCAGCAGCTCGGGATCGTCCTCGTCTGCAGACACATCACCTGCAACACTACAGACATCGACACGGACACGTGGAGAGGAAACAGTAAGATGTTCCAGCCTGCATTTAGTCCAGATTCAGAATGGCAGAGACTGATGCTCTTACTGAGGTTAAAGGAAGTGCCTCCATCCAGAACACAGCACGATAAAACATGCCTCTAAAACGTTAGTCAGCTCAACAAATCAACAACAGCAACAATCACAACACTGAAGAGAGCTCAGTCGAATCAAGAAAGCTCAAACCCAGAAACTGTGAATCATTTTCAACATTTCCAGGAGACGGTTGATGTTTCAAAGCTTTGGTGAGTTCAAACACAGACTTCAGACTTGCTTTTATCTTCATCAGACAGGGACCTGATCGGAGTCCTGGTCTGCTCTTTCTCCAGAGAGCCAATCGGGATTAAAATTTGCAATATTAGTGGGCGTGGCCTCTGTGACTGAGAGGGGGATGGTGAACCCTGAACTGGACCTCTGCACCGTGTTTGTGCTGTTGGAGCCTTTTGCAAAATAATTTTACTCCTTAGATTTCCCCTACACACAATATGTTTAA